ATGATTGGCCAATCCTGGGTCACACGGACATCTACAAAGTCAGTTCCACCTGAGCCACAGAAACGTTCCCAAAAGGAAATCAGGATGGTGTCATTGCAAGAAGGAGAAGTGCATGCTGAGAAGGCAGACCCAAAAGATGTCTCTAGATGTCAAAAGTGGGCTCCAAAATGCTAATAATAACATTTCTAAAAGGTTCTGAGTCAAATAAATATGAGCAATACTTGGTTAGGCAAAGAGAAATAAAGACCTCTATCCCAGGATTTCTCAGAGCTGGTACCTTATTCCTATGCATTTTGACTGCAAGGGGGTATCAAAGAATGCCTCTTTCCTCAAACTCTAATGACCCTAGAAGCCTTTGTTGGGAAGCTTCTCACAGGAATCCTGGCCACGCAGTGCATTTTGGGAAAAACTGCATTCCACACCACACAGAGGCCAAGTTACTGCAGAAGTCACTGAGGCTGCCTTGTCTGCAGGCTGGCCCTCCTCCTCGCCATTCCAGAACCTCAGCCACCAGCCTCTCTCTTCCTTTGCCTGAGAGTTTGCTCTGGTCACTCGAACCTCCCATGCCCATTTGAGTGGCAGGCCAGAAGTTGGGGAATGTTAGCACCTTCCAGGAGCAGCCTCAACTAGTTACTTCTGGGAGAGAATGTATAAATACCTGAGCTCCCTCCCCAAGACAGGGTAACTTCAAACGGGCTGCCAGTTTCCTTGAAGTCCTGCGCTCAGCTGCCCATAGTGGTCCGTGGTATTATAATGCCCCCTTTGGTGGTAGCCGTCTCCTTCCTGTCTCATTTCCCTGCAATCCTGCCAGTGTTTTCTAGGACCACCTCCTAAATAAACCCTGTGCACTAGGACTCTTGTCTCAAGGTCTGCTTCTGGGAGAACCCAAATCAAGAAAGTTGTTACCAGCCGGGCTCTGTGGCTCAGCCTGTAATCCCGCACCTTGGGAGGCTGAGGTGAGTGGATTGCCTGAGCCCGTGGGTTTGAGACCCGCCTGGGCAACTTGGTGAGACCTCATCTCTACAATAAATCAAAAAATTAGCCGGGCGTGGTAGCGCACGCCTGTAATTCCAGCTACTTGGAAGGCTAAGGCAGAAGGATCGCCGGAGCCCCAGCAGGTCGAGGCTGCGGTGGCTGGGAGCGACCACTGCACTCCAGTCTGGGCAACAGAGTGAGACTCCAACTCAAAAAAAAAAAAAAAAAAGTTGTTACCTAATAGCTTTTACAAGCATCCAGATGCCTCCCCAAGGCATTTCCAAAAAACTTTTTCTCACTGGCCACTAAATCTACCTTTTCCGCAACACCAGCATTCCAGAATGATCTATTTCTGTTCCCCAGCTTCCATCTGTAGGGATTCTTCCAACCCACCACTCTCATGTGCTAAGAAACCCCATCCTGGCCCTGGAAATCTCACTGCTCTGTCTGTCCCACCTGGTCCCCACCCCCATCCACCAAGGCAAGGACCAGAGTCACCCTGGACCTGCAGCACGCCTCACAGCACACCATGGGCCCTTGACTCTGCCACCCCAGCATGGAATTCTACCCCCTCTCTCCGCAGCCCCTACCTCTTCTTTGGTTACCCCACCATCATTTCTCACGTGGATTACACCAACAGCCTCCACTGGGTCTCCCAGCCTGTAATCTAACCGCCTTCACCATCCATCCTCCGTGTTTAACCAAGCCAGAGATGCTCGCTAAAACACACGTGTTGTTTTCTGCTTCAAAGTCCTCAGGGGTGGCTCGAGGGGTCTCAGAATAAAGGTGGTATGCCTGCTCAGCTCTAGCTCCAGCCACTCTCGCCTCTCTGTGCCTTCTCTAATCCCATAACCGGGACCATCTTTTAGCTCCTCACACACCTCAGGACCTTGGCATATGCTGTTCCTAAGGCCTGGAGTGCTACAAGCAGCCCATCCACTTGGCACCAATCAGCTTACAAGGCTTGGTCTGCTCTTCACTGTCTCCTAAAACTGCTTGTGTCCCACCCTCGGGCCCCATTCCCTTCTTGAGCCTTGATTTCTCTTTGTCATTATGAATCACTCAGACCAGCAAACAAAGAGTAGCAAAGGCTTGTGAACCTCCCCATTGTCAAGAATAAGATATTGCCTATTTCGCTGAGGGTTCCTTCCTCTCTCTCCACTCTGAGGTTACCACTGTCCTGACTTAGGTATTCCTTACTCCCGTGCCCCTCTGGATACTTTTACATAGATGCCTATCCTTGAACAATAGAGACCGTTTGCACGTCTTTACCTTGACATAATGACTGGCTTTGCTGTTTCACTTCACATTCTGTTGGTGATATCCATGGGTGTTAATAGGCCTTGCTCCCATTCACTCTTTTTTTGGGGGGGGGTCAAGGTTGTCTGTTTCCCACGCTGGAGTGCGGTGATCCTTCCACCACAGCCTCTCGAGTGGCTGGGACTACAGGTGCATGCTCTGGCTAATTTTTGTTATTTCTTCTAGACACAAGGTCTTGGTATGTTACCTAGGCTGGTCTTGAATGCCTGAGCTGAAGTAAAACTCCCGCCTCAGCCTCCCAAAGTGCTGGGATTACAGATGTGAGCCACCGCACCCGGCCCCGTTCATTCATTTTATCCACTGGTGAGCACCGTCGTGTGACTGTACTGCCACCCATCTGTCTGTCCTCTCGCCATGGGCGCTGTCTCTAGTTGTAGCCATCACAAGTGTGCCCTGAGCCTGCTTGCACTGCCTCCAGCCCGTGTACAGGAGTCGGTCAGGTTGACACCCAGGAAGTTTCTAGCTAAAGGGACACACACATCTTCAGCTTTGCTAGACAGGCTGTACCAGTATCCCTTGTTGGTAAACTGCTCTTTGCCCCTTAACTCTGGGCACAAAGGTGCCTCTGTCCATTTCTACATCTCTCAAATTAAAGGATTTAACGTCGCCTGCTGATGTCCAGCCTGTCCAGTCTCTTTCCCAGCAAGTGGAGAGAAGCCTCTACTTACCCCAATCAGGCCTTTTCTGAGCTTCCCGGTTCAGGGCAGCCAGCACTTTGTACAACAACCAGAACAAGGAAGCCATCAGAGTGGCAGGGACCCTGGGGGCCAACAACCAGTGACCTAATCCCAGATGACCTCTTCTGCTGTGCACCTTTGGGCAAGCCACTCCACCTCACTGAGCCTTTTCCTCACCTGCGAAATGGAGATGCTAACAGTTACTGACAATAAGGGAGTCATGATGATGCAGTGAGGTAACCATGGAAACGCAAGAGGCCCTCTGAAAGGAGAAGCTGTATGTTACCTGCAGAGTCCTCAGAGAATCACCAACAAGTTTGCATGTCAATCAGAACTGCTTTGGTTGCAGTGAAAGAAACCCCAGGTCAAACCAGTTGAAGAAATATTGTAATTTATTACCATGCAACTGGGAAGTCTGAGCCATCTCGGTTCAGGTGTATCCAGATCCAAGAGTTCTTTTTTTTTTTAAAAAGAGATGAGAGCCGGGCTCGGTGGCTCAGCCTGTAATCCCGCGCCTTTGGGAGGCTGAGGTGAGTGGATTGCCTGAGCCCGTGGGTTCGAGACCCGCCTTGGCAGCGAGACCTCATCTCCACAATAAATCAAAAAATCAGCTGGGCGTGGTAGCGCGTGACTATAATTCCGGCTACTCGGAAGGCTGAGGCGGAAGGATCGCCGGAGCCCAGCAGGTCGAGGCTGCGGTGGCCGGGAACAGCCACTGCACTCCAGTCTGGGCGACAGAGTGAGACTCCAACTCAAAAAAAATAAAAAATAAAAATAAAGAGATGAGGACTTGCTGTGTTGACCAGGCTGATCTCAAACTCCTGGCCTCAAACAATCCTCCCACCTCGGCTTCCCAATGTGCTAGGATTACAGGTGTGAGTCATCATTCCCAGCCCTTAGATCCAGGAGTTCTAATGACACCGCCAGGAGGCTGGCCCTGTCCATCTCTGGGCCATTCTCTCCCGCACGTTGGCTTCATTCTCGGGCAGCCTCTCCAACTGGTGGCTCCTGGCTTACGTCCTCCCGGCGTTAATGTCTGCCCCGAACCCAAAGAGCTTCTCCTTCCCAGCACTTCCTGCCCAGATTCCCAGGATGCTCCTCACTGGCCCGGGTGTGGGCCCATGACCCCACCCGAGCCAATTGCGATGGCCAGGGAAAAGGATGATGATCTCAGTCCGGGTCTGGGCTGGGTGCTCACCTCCAGGGCTAGAGGTTGGCTCAACGATCTCCAAACCACATGGAATGAGTTTGGGGGAGGAATGGGTCCCGGAAGAAAACAGATGAAATCCCCAAGGTAAGGGGTAACGGATCCCCGCCTGAGAGAGGCGGTAGGTATCCACCACCCCCTTGCTACTCAGGATGAGCTTCACGGAACAGCGGTATCAGCGAGCTCCTCAGAAATGCAGTCTTGGGCCCATCCCAGACTTACTGAGTCAGAACCCACATTGTAGCAGCTCTGCAGGTGAGTCACTGCACATCAAAGTTTGAAAAATGCTGCACCGCACATGAACTTCTCTAGCTGCTTACACAATTTTTAAGTTGTTTTATTGAGAACCACAGAAAGTAAGAACTAAAAGAGTCCTTTGAGGCCATCACGTCCAGGTCCTTGATCTAAGGATGGAGAAGCCAGACGCTGGGGCAAGGGTCTCGCTGTGACGTCCACTGCCCAGGGGGCTCCCCCTTACCCTGCACGGCCATCATCAGGGCCAGCAGCTGCTGCTTCCATGAACCATCTCATGGGGAGATGCATTCTGAGCCCCAGCGGTGCCAGCCTGGGTCAAAAGACCGCACTTAGAAGGTGGACATCCTAGCCACTGTCTGCTGTCACTCACAGCACCTGGCCAGGATCATCAGGAACACAGAGCCCCTGTGGAGTATGGAGACCCACAGACACACACACAGACACATCCAGACGTTCTCAGACTCAGACTCATGCACACACTGTCAACACAGACACACTCAGGCCCAGCCTCGCTCTCACCCTGACTCAGGCCCACTGGGCTCCCCAAAGCCAAGAGCACTGCAGACCACACTGGCCTTTATTCTATTACAAAGAGCAGGGCTGGGGCCAGGGTAGTTCATTCTCAGGCTGCGTCAGAAGGTGCAGAGTGTTCGGGGGACACAGACTGGACCCCAAAGTGACAATAAGTTAGGGGGGAAGTTCTCAGGCTGCAGTCAGGCTGGAGCCAGGGCAGGGCGCCAAGTGGGGTCCCCCAGAGCCACTTCCAGCTGCCAGCTCTGCCCTCCCAGGTAAGGCTGGTTCAAGGGCAGACACGGCCTCCACTGAAACACAACAGGGCAAGGATGAGAAGGAAGGGCATGGGGTCAGGTCAGGAGGTCGGTCGGGAGGGGTCAGCAGGGTACCCAGCGTCAGTGAGGACAGGCCTGAGGTGGCGGGCAGGGCAGGGTTGGGACGCGGCGGGCCCCTCACCAGGCCTCAGTTAAGCTCTTGCAGATTCTCGTAATCTGGAGCTCCGTCCTCTTCCTCTTCCTCCTCATCTTCCACCTCCTGGGAACTCAGGGTGGCTGTGAGGGGAGAGGAGGGGACATCGGTCTCCAGCTTGCAAGCCATCCCCTCAAGCCCAAGGCAGCTCCCACCCAGCCCCCTGCACACACCGGGCTCGGTCCTAGCCGCTGGCTGCAGTTCCTGGGACACATTCACATACTCCCGGCTGCCGTCTGCAGGGACAGGTCAGAAGGAGGACAGCCACACAAACAGGGTGGGAGGAACTCCAGACAGCAGGGGAGGGGGTTGCAGGCAGCCCCAGGGTGGGGTCAGGCCACACCGAGAGCGGGTGGCATGGGGGCAGCCGTAAGGGAGGCACACGGAGCACCAGTCACTCACCCAGAGACGCTTCCGCACTCTCCTCGCTCTCGGGAACATTCACATAGTCCTCGCTGGACTCTACTGTGGGAAAGGAAAGGCCACCCCACCCCAGCACATTCAGAGACCCTCAGCCACAGATGCCCAGAGACCCCCAACCTCAGGTGTCCAGGGCTCCCTAGGACAGCACCCCGTCCGGCCAGTCCCACAGGATGCAAAGATGGCTGAGGCAAGCTGCGGTGACCTGGACCAGGGCGAGGGCCATGAAGCCGGAGAGGCAGCCTGCTGGACCAGGACGGATTAGAGCCAAGGGAGGCATGGGCGGGCAGAGGAGCAGACCCCAGCACGGCCCCAGGCTGGGGAGCAAGGCAGAGTGGGGCTCAGAGCCGTGAGAACTTGGTGGCATGTGTGGAGAGATGACCCCCAGCGGGTGCCTCGTGCTCCTGAGGCCTGCCCCACCCCCACTCCTGCCTTAGCCCCTGTGGTGCCCGTCACCATCCACGTTATTTGGTTCTTCGATGTGTGGCCTTGTTTCTCCGAGAAGACATGGGCGAGGTGAGCTCTCAAGCCAGATGGCTCCAGCACTAAGCTACCATGTGGCCTCAGCCAAGTGACTTAACCTCTCTCTGTCTCAGTTTGCCGTCTGTATAATAGGGTGAGTAACAGGACCCAACTCGCAGGACTGCTGTGCAGATGAAAGCAGTGAAGAGTAACCCAGGGCCTGTCACACAGCAGGTGCCGTGAAATAAATCAAGCCCGCCATCACAGAGGGACGCTGCAGCACAGGAAGGGAAGGGGAAGCCCAGAGCACCTGGGAACTGTGAGGTTTAACTAGTAAATACACAGAAACCTCTTAGAAGGGCCTGAAGCAGGCCCTCTGTGAGTGTTCACTACTTTATCGTGCCAGGCTGCCTCTTTCGTCCTAGTCTGAACCCCACAGAGGTACCCAGTACATGTTGAGAGAATAAAGGCAAAAAGGCACTTGGACAGTTTGGTGCTCAGGAGGGAGGGAGCAAATCGGGAATCTGGATGGCAAATGAAGCCAGAGTGTGGGAGTGACCAGGACAAGCATACAGAGCAAGGAGGGTACCAGAAAACCAAAGGATCCCCAGATACCGAGGAAAGCCTAGAGGAAACGACCAGACAGGATAAGACCATAACAAAGGGAGAAAAGCAGCTCACGGGACACGAAGCAATACAGGAAGCCCAGGAAAAGGTCCGCACACCAGAAGACAACCTCTAGTGAATATCCTTAGAGTCACAAGATTAGACTGCCAGCCGGGCTCAGTAGCTCAGCCTGTAATCCTGCGCTTTGGGAGGCTGAGGTGAGTGGACTGCCAGAGCCCACGGGTTCGAGACCCGCCTGGGCAACTTCGTGAGACCTCATCTCTACAATAAAAAAAAAAATCAGCCGGGCGTGGTAGCGCGTGCCTGTAATTCCAGCTACTCGGAAGGCTGAGGCGGAAGGATAGCCGGAGCCCAGCGGGTCGAGGCTGCGGTGGCCGGGAGCGGCCACTACACTCCAGTCTGGGCGACAGAGTGAGACTCCAACTCAAAAAAAAAAAAAGATTAGACTGCCTCCACACAACAAGAACAGGAGGCATGAAAAAAAAGAACATTCAGAGACCAAGACAGAACTTTTGGACAGGAGAAATGACATTTCAGTAGAAGGGTTGAAGAATAAAAGTCAAGGAAGGCTCTCAGATGATAAAAGGAAAAGGCAAAAAGATAGAAAGAGGAGAGAGAAAGCCAGAAGTCAGAACAGAGCAGGAAGTCCAGTCTCTGAAGGACACGAGCTCCCGAAAGAAAAGACAAGCATAGCAATCATCCAAGAAATAATGGGAGAGGGAACAGCGAGGGGTAGTCAGAAATGCCTGACTCACTGGAGAAGGCGCTGTCTCGGAGGCCAGCCTTGCTGGGCACGGAAGCCAATGGGGTGGCAGTGCTGATGGCTGGGGTGCTGTCGGGAAGCACCTCCCTGAAAGGAAGTAAGGGGTGGATGAGTAGGGATGCCCGGCCTCGGCCCCCACCTTGCCCCTGGCCACTCACAGGTAGCCCTCGTTGGGATAGTCTTCCTCATCCTCGTCCTCATCTGCGTCCTCACATGCCGGCGCTGGGGGTAACGACACCAGGGTCAGCCTAGCCAGGGACAGGCCCCAGCCTCCCCACCCAGCCCAGGCACCCAGTATTCTAGACGCACCCTCGTTCTCGTAGCTCGCCACGCTGTTGGCTTCAAGGAGAGAGCGAGAAGGAGACCGAGTCGGCTCAGGCTGGGTCTGTCCTCCGCCCAGCCCAAGCCTCCTGAGCCCCTCTCTGAACTTACCGCCATCTGAATCCTGCCGGGAAGATGGCATCTGGTGGGAGCCCCCGGGGGGCTGTGGGGATCGTCTGAGAGTCAAAGGTCAAGGTCATGCCTGGGTGGAGCTCAGGGGGCCACAGGGAAGAAAGCAGCCCCCGATCCAAGAACGTGGGGCACAGAGAGAGGGGTTTGGCGGGGAAGAGATTGACAAGCTACTCACGGGATGGGGAGCAGGTCTGGTGGGCTCACGGGTGGGTAGGGGGTGGCAGGTGGCCAGGGGACAACTGTTTCTGGGGATGCAGAACCAAGCTTGAAGGAGTGACTCCAAGTATCCTTCCCCCACCCTGCCAAGGCCTCGAAGGGCAGGCTAACCCCCTGAAACCCCTGTGCCCTGAACGAGTCCGGGGGCGCCCATCTCACCAGCCCAGCTCAGGTAAAGGCCATGTGGGCTATCCCAGTCGGGGCAGGGGAGGGGATCGAACAAGGGCACCCGCTTGCTCACGGGCCAGGGCACCCTCTCCCCTACACACAGGGTACTCACGAGGCCGTTTGATCAGAATGCTGCTTGGGTACAAACTGGCAGGAGAGACACAGCTTGGTGTGGGTCCAGGAGGGGTCCCCACCCTGCCCACCATGGGAGTTGGAGGGAGACACACATGGTGGACAGGCAGACTCACCTATCTGAGGAGGCACCGTTATATGAATCTGGGAAAGAGAAGGTGGGTGAGGCGGGAGCGAGGCTGCTGGGGGGAGGGTGCCAGCGTCCACAGGCCTTTCAGAGGCCCTGGGAGCAGCACAGAGGCAGGGACGGAGGACAGACTGGCGGAGGGGCTGGGGAACGGGCGAGGATCCCTGCCGGGGAGCTCGGGCATCCAGCACGCTTGCCAGCTTCTAACTCACCTGACAGCCTGCGGCAACGCACGCACAGCACCATCAGCAGCACGGTCAGGAGAGGCAGCAGCAGGAGACCCAGCACGGGCTCCTCCATCTGCAGGAGAGCTCAGACCAGGCTGGCTGCACCCCACAGGCCCCTCAGGAGTAGAGCCGAGGCAGGGCGAGGCCTGGACCCGGGAGGGTGCAGGGGCCAAGCTGCGCCCTCCTCGGGGCTCCCTGGGCCCCTTTCCTCACTGGGCCAAGTGGGGTCCCTGCTGGCCCTGGAGGATCCTGGGTCCCAGCAAGGTCAGGCCAGGGCCTGGACTGGAGTCTGGGGCTCCAGCCAGCCCCTGCCTGTGTGGTACCTGCCCCTCCTCGGCACCCGCCTCTCCTCCGCACCCACCCGCCCGCCAGCGGCAGGAAGCTGTGGTGAGCGCCCGGCGAGGGCAGGAAATCATCGGGCTCTTCAGCCGGCTGCACCCGCCCTCTTCCCACCCCCACCCAGCCCGTGGGGAGGGGGCGGGAGGAGGCCTGAGGAGCCGCTGTCCGGCTCTCAGGAAGGGTCTGCTGGCCTCCAGGACAGGACGGGCAATTTGTGCGGTGGGAGGGGGAGAGACACCTGCAGCTGGCCACCAGCCATGGCCTCCACATCCATGGGGCTGGGAGGCTCCGACAGCAGGAATTCTGGGGTGCAGAGGCAGGGCCCACCCCCACCTCACCAAGACCTGCCTGCCAAGAGGGGCGGGTTTCAGGGAAGTGGGGGCGTGACTCATGGTCACACCGAGCCAGCTCACTCACAGGAGAACAGTTCCCCTTCTCAGTCCCAGCCCAGAAGGGCAGAGACTCACCTGAGGCCCCACAAAAGACACCCAACAATCCCAGGGAGCCCTGGGGGGGGAGACGGGGCATCCCCAGCAGGCCAGAGGTCACTAGCACCCAGAGAAAGACTCAAGCAGGCACTTGGGTCTGGCTACAAATTTTATTCCATTACAAATAGCACCGAGCCCGTGGGGCTGCCCCTGTGGTGAGGGCCTCCCCTCCCAGACCCCGCCTCCTCCCCTGGGCTGCCCGTGTAGTGTCTGGGAGCTGGGACACAACCCAGAGTTCCTCCTGGAAGCTGGGCCAGGCCAAGGGATTAGGCCCAGGCACCTCGTGGGTGGGCCCAGGGCCAGCGGCGACAGATGTGCGTGCAGGCAGGCGGGCGGCGGCCTCTCAGATGAGCACGCTGGACACAGGAACGCGGGTGGAGCGGCCTCGCTGGGGCACCACAATGCGATCGTCTGTGGGCCCTGCCTCCTGTAGCAGACCTGTGAGGGGAGGGGCCAGAGCCAGGGCTGGAGGCACAGACAGACACAAAGCCAGAGAGGGGACACAGGTGCAGTGGGAAACGGGCGGGGTGGCCACAGAGAGAGCCGGAGCCACGTGAGGGACTGAGAGAGTGTGGACTGAGGGAGGCCAAGTCCACAGGCTCAGGCGGGCAGGCAGACAGTGTCAAGGAGTGGGCCGGGCACAGGCCGCAACTGACCCTGCACATGCAACTGGGCCCGCCGGCGATCGCCCTCGATGAAGATGGCAGTGCCCAGGAAGGCCGCCCCACCCAGCGCCCCGACGAAGGCGCAGAGCATGAGCGAGAACTGCAGGGCCCGGAACTCGGACAAGAAGGAGGGCGGCCAGCTGCGGCGGAGGCGGTCAGAGATCTGCGGGAGACGGGGAGGCCAGGAGGGAGTCAGAGAGACCTGGGAGGAGCCAGGGAGAGGGCCTAAGCTCAGGAAATGCAAACAGAAAAACGAGCCTGGGCAAGGTCCCTGGCCTCACTGGTGGAAAGCGTCAAAGACAGAATCCTCGCCGTCCATCCAAGGGGCCTGGCCCAGAGGACCCGAGTGCCTGACCTTCTGATGCAGCCCTGGCTCGGACCACGGGCTGCTGGGCAGTGCGGGGTCCCCAGTCCCCACCCCATCTCAGCCAAGGGGGCAGTGCTCACCAGACCGATGAGGTAGGGGCTCCCAGCGTCGCCCAGCAGGTGGGACAGCACGATCTGGAAGGCCTCGGCGGTGGAGCGTCGGGTGGGGATCACCACGTACTGTGGGGGAAGGGAGCTCAGTGGGGGCTCTCCAGGGGACAGAGGGCAGAGGGCCAGGAAAGGGTCAAGGCTCAGCCAAGGCCAGGGTCAGAGGTGTGAAGGTCAAGGCCACAGGGCAGGCGAGGACTATAGGGCCCTCTGGGGCTGAACTCTGGAGTCAGTCCAGGGCTGAGTTTTGAGGAAGGGGTAAAGGTCACAGTTCAGAGGGAATGAGGTCTCCCTGCCCCCACCTGCTCCCATCAGCCTCTGGGCTAACCCTGGAGCTGCCCAGCTACTCACCAGCAGAATGTCAGCCACGATGGCCCAGTTCATGGACAGGAGTGTCTCTCCAATAAAGATGAAAATCTGGGGACAGGAGGGGTGTGGGGTTTCATTACCAAAAGGGCAAACACATGGCATTTACCATGTCCCAGGCTCTTCTGTTAACTCATTTAATCCTCACCACACCCCATGGAACAGGTGCTAATATTATTCCCATTTTACAGGTGGTAAAACTGAGCACAGAGAGGTTAAACCGCTTGCCCAATGTCACACAGCAGGGAAAGGCCAGAGCTGTGATACAAAACCAGGCATCTCACCTCGAGTGGGCTCTGAACCACTGTGCTGGCGAACCCCAGTCCTGCCCCAGTGCACCGTTCCTCCACCCTGGACCCAGAACAGCCCCCTTGACACCTGCTGGCTACTCACATAGGTGGCCACGATGCTACCACGGGCACAGGCGAGAGACAGGAAGAGGAATGGCGCGGAGCCCAGGAGGCCAGCGGCACAGACCAGTGGGTCGGCCCGGGGGTTGGAGCGGCGGAGGCGGCGGCTGATCTCCACGCCCAGGCCCACACCCAGGACCCCAGTTAGGCAGGTGATAAGCCCGAAGATGAGACTAGGGTGCAGGGCAGGGGTGTGGGGTTAGTCTGCCTGCCTGCAAAGCCGCCTAGGCTGGCCTGTCCCGACCACCCTCACAACCCAGGTCCATCTAGGCACAGCACCCCACGGTTCACACGACCCCATGAGGCAGACATGAACCCAGCACACAGTTCCCAGACCAGGAAACCAAGACTCCGGGAGAGAAGGTCGCTTGTGGAGCCGGGGTTCAAACTCCTTGCCCGAGTGTGACTTGCAGACTCTCTTCACCCCTGCCACCTGCAAGCCACCCGGGCCAGCCCCATCTGGGTACCTGTCAGAGGATGAGCAGGAGTCTCCAGGAAGGCAGGGTGGGGTCTCTCCCAGAACCACGCGGGAACGCAGCAGGAATGCAGGAGCCCACAGAGCCAGGGAGCCAGTAACAAAGGCCACAGCAGTGAAGCCAAGGGAAGACAGGACGAAACTAGGACTGCAGAGGGTCAGGAGAAGTCAGATCTCACTGAGATGTCAACGTAGGAGGGAACCTCTCTTCTCCCCATCTTATTTTAGTAAGGTCAGAACACTGGGTATGGAGGCTGTCCAGACTCCTAGGGTCTGGGCCTGTAATTCAAGCAGCTGCCACAGGGGGGCAGTAGTTGTTGAATTCCTGGCCTTGGGGTGTGGCCAGCTGACAGAAAACAATACACAAGCCCCCTTAAATCTCAAATCAGATGTAAAGGCTTCCCTGGGGGTCTCAGAGGTTGGCCTGGGAAGGGACTAAACTCACTTTCTTGCCAGAGCCCTTAGATCTGCCCACCATGAGGTGGGGTTCAGGGGTGGCGAGTCTGAGTGGCGCTCCACGGCTCCCCTTGGCGGCTCGCGTACAATCAGGAACAGCAGCAGAACGGCTACCACTCCTAGACCTGGTGTCACCTAGGGAAAGAGTGGGCTTCAGGACAGGAATGGGCAGAGACACACTCGACCCCTGAGGCTGAGGCCCTTGAGGAAGAGGCCCCAAGACCTCAAACACCCACATAAGTGCCTGCTCACGGAGGCTGAACCTGCAGTGTGGGGAAGGGGGCCGCAACTAGGGGCTACCCTGTTTTTGCAAGCCTAACTTCGCTTCTTCTTTGGTAACAGCACCCTACTTTTCTTTTGGGAAACCACTGCCCCCACTTCTCTCATTCCACGTGATTCAAATAAGACCCCAGACCTGGCCAACAAGAGTAGTATGACCACCCCAGTCTCTGTGACAGATTCCACAGTAGGCACGTGACCCACACTCATCTGATCAGACACCATCCCTGGAATCTATAGCTCAAGGATCCAAGATGCTGAAGTTTCTTTTTTTTTTTTTGAGTTGGAGCCTCATTCTGTTGCCCAGACTGGAGTGCAGTGGCCGCTCCCAGCCACCGCAGCCTTGACCTGCTGGGCTCCGGCGATCCTTCCGCCTCAGCCTTCCAAGGAGCTGGAACTACAGGCGCGTGCTACCACGCCCGGCTCATTTTTTGATTTATTGTAGAGATGAGGTCTCGCCAACTTGCCCAGGCGGGTCTCAAACCCGTGGGCTCAGGCAATCCACTCATCTCACCCTCCCAAAGGCACGGGATTACAGGCTGAAGTTTCTAAATGGGAAGATGAGTGTTCAGAGTTCTCATGTGCTTCAGAATGTAGTTAACCGACAGGAAAATGAAGCTGAGAAGCTCATGGTCGAATTCCTGTGACAGTGTGGGAGCCCTGATCCAGCTTTACCTGAAGCTCACCCTGGGGTTTCCCATGAAGGAAACCAATACAGTCCCTTCTGGGGGCTTAGGGTTTGGCAATGGGCTTCCGTGGCCTGCTAGCAAGAGTTCGATCACGTGGCAGCCAGCCTCCTGTAGGCTCAGAAGAGTAAGCACTGCCTCCCAAAGGAGGTATCTGCAGGCAGGAAAGGGGGGACCAGCAAGAATGTCACCGACCTTTCCCTGGGCCATGACCAGACTCACCCTCAGAGCCCAGTGCCAGTCCCCAGCCACATCCTTCACTTTGGAACCTGCAATGTAGCCCAGACCACTGGGGGAGAAAAGAGGGGACAGCCAGTCAGTCCAATCCCGTCCACCAGGTCCCCCTGCCTCCCCACCGGCCCAAGGCCCGCTCACCTGCCCACTGGAATGGCAAAGTAGAAGACGCTGAGCATGCGACTGCGCTGGTCAGCCACGAAGAGGTCGGCAATGAGCGTGGGTGCGATGGTGGAGTAACTGGCCTCCCCGACCCCCACCAGGCCCCGGGTCAGGAGGAGCAGCCAGAAACGCTGGGAGGCGAGACACGGAG